AAAGCCTCTTTCATTCTCAAAAAGCCCGATTTTGCCAAAAAAGAGTTAAAATTGAATAAAAAATTCACCCATACCTGCCCATGATCACAGAGAGAAAGAGGGGGGATTTTTAGGGTTACCTCTCAATTCCTCTTCCCTCCTCATTCTCCTACATCCATGTCTCTCTCTCTCTCAAAAATTGGAATGCGAAAAACCCTAGAACAAGGAGGGAAGAAACTAAAGAAGGGGAAATGGAAGTGAGTGGGCCTTTGTTTAGACTAGGAATGAAAGTGGGTGGGCTTTTGTTTAAGCTTTGGGGCCCATGCAAGTCTTTTGAAATTAATCCCTCAACTTTTAAACATCTTGCGAATTACTACCTCAAATCAGAAATTTGTTCCTTAAATCTTTAAAGATTTTGAAATTAATCAATTAGATGTTCATATTTTAAAATTAGTCCCTCAAATCTTTGAACATATTGTAAATTACTATCTTCAATCCAAATTTAGTCCCTCGAATAGTTAAATATTTTGAATTCCTCCCTCAAATAGTGGGTATGTTCACCTTTTAATTTATGTTGGCAATACTTTTGTCTTATATGGATAGTAGGCATACCATGGTGATCACTACCAATGTTTTTTTTAATTTTAACCAAACACTGGAAAATAAGAGAATCTATTCACATATCAACTACTTTCTTTTTTCTTTTTAAATTGAACCAAACTAAGGAAAGTGATGGAAATTACTTTTATCCCATATTTTTTGGCGAAACAAACACAAGAAACACTTTCCATAAAAATGAAGAAAACACGACAAAGTAAAGAAAAACCAGTTTTTGAAAATGAAGGAAAACAACCAAACATGCCCTTAGCTAATAGTGTACGTTTTATTATTCGTACATGCATAATCAATGTAAAACAATAAATCAATAAAGAAAGTTAAAGTACCAATGCAAATAGAATGCTAAATGTATTCAAACAAAAAAAAAAAATCAGCAGAATAACCAACTTAAATGCCAGAATGGAGGTTCCACTAACACATGGCAGGCTTCTTACTTTTTTTTCCAGCGAAATGGACAATTCTGTAATTTGTGATTACTAAAATGGTCATTCTATGGACAAGCTACTTGGTCAATGTATATATATCTTAATCTGATGTTTAGACCTATGTCTTATTTACTTGGATGATCAATCATGCAATTAAATACTAATTGAATTATTGATCACTTCTAACGTTTTCTGGCAATTTAAGTTGCATATTTTCATTTACTTTTAAACAATATAATTTACTCGATATATCACGTGTCAATGAATTTTAAGAAAAAAAGAAAAGAAAAATGCAATATAATTACCCAATACAAGTTGACCAATATATCACAAGTTTCATTTCCACAAGTGTTCACGGTATTACACACAGAAATAAATCTGTTATGTCAAATGAACAAGAATCTTTTATGTCACATCAACGAAAATTCCTTCTATCTACTAGCAGAGAAACATTAGAAGTGATTAAAAACCCAATTAAGATTTAATTACCGTCAAAGCAATAAAAATATAGTGATCGATAAACATTCAATTGCAATATTCTCTCTCTCTCTCTCTCTCTGTTGAAGATTAATGAGGATTCGAAAGAACGCATCCAAGCTTCTAGGCTCCTCAACCCTGTTTATTTATTTAATCCTAACTGCAATGACTTGGACGATTACTTCCTCATAAATCATCATTATAATAATCCCAGGATCATCATCTTGATCCGGACTTAATCGCTTCCCCCCATTTATTTAAATTTTTATTGGACTCTGGCCAAGTTTTTCGTTCCGAAAATTATTAGGGTTTTCTTATAAAAATT